AGATTTGCAACGTGAAGGCACGAAATACTGAGCGCGTAACATGCAGGCAACGTCGTATGCGCGCGAAATACGTTGGCAGCACTGGCTGTAAATCAGCTGGTCAGCTGTTGTACAGTTGTATTTGTCACTTCACATTAAATGTTATATTAAAAGTTCACTTCTGTGTAAAAATAGGTTATGTTTCTTCACAAATTTATTTGTTCTATGGTAACTGTAGGAAAAGTATAATGTGCAACTCGAGTTCAAAGTACAATTGCCTCACTCGAGAAACCATTCCTCACGAGCCTGTACTTTGAACTCGAGTTGCACATTATACTTTTCCTACTGTTACCATAGAACAAATAAATTTGTGAAGAAACATAACCTATTTTACACAGAAGTGAACTTTTAATAAAACATTTAATGTGAAGAGACAAATACAACAGTACAACAGCTGACCAGCTGATTTACAGCCAGTGCTGCCAACGCATTTAGCGCGCATATGACGTTGCCTGCGTGTAACGCGCTCACTATTTCGTGCCTTCACGTTGCAAATCTGGAGTGAGACAAAGTAATTAGAGTGAGACAATGTTAACATTGTCTCACTGATGAGCGAATTGGCCACTTTGCTTTCTCAAATCAGTGAGAGAACATGTACATTGTTAGGTAACTGTAGGAAAACTATATTGTCGATTGCATTGGCCAGCTGTTGTTCACTAAATTAATCAAATAATAACTTCCAAAACATGCAAGGCGTAGCCTTTTGAAAATCAGCCTGTGGGGCAGAGCCCTTAGGGAGTTCGTCCATATCAATACTTTTCGGCAAAATCTACACACTCTAAGCTTCATTTTGATATGCCATATGCCTATATTTTTATTTGGTAAATGGCCTTAACCGTTTACATAAAATTTGATTGTATCACTGTAATAATATAATATACTGTTGTATGGATAATATTTTTGTACTATTGAGTGGATGGATTCTTGTAAACAAGCCTTGAAATCATATTAAGTGAGACTAATTCGTCAACGTTTGTGATTTATGAAAGCTATAGTGACAATAGGCGGATGGTGGCCCCACCTTCTGCAGTAGCCTATCTATAAAAGCTATAATGTATATACAAAACTATAATATCTATAACTAATATTATGATGGTCAATTTATACATATCCACTGTTTTTGTATCTTGAACTGAGGTGACACATATGTCGTCAAATCGTCGTTAAAATTGGTTAAAAACTGTTTAAATATACAACTTTTAGCACGGTGTTTGTAACTAAACTATAGCCTAAACTTAGATTTAAATCCATCTAATACCTGCTCTTGCTCTGGAGTACTCTGGGGCTCAGGTCCTTCTTGGAAGTACCGTACCTAATCCTATTCATAGTTTTTGGCCAGCTTGCTGTGTCAAACACCCCATATCACCCCTTCCCTACTTCCCTCTTACCCACAAAATCTTTTCAATTTACCTATAGGGAATCTTTTGGGGACAGCAGACTCAGAGCTACCCACGTTCCCTATTGTTTGTTGCGGAGGGTAAGTTTCTCATAATCACCCCAGGCCGAAAGTCCTACACTCATACAGTACTTGTGTTGTTAATTAATCCAAACTATTAACCATCGTGACAAAACTCTGTTTCGTTTGAATTTATTTTGTCTCTTAATCACTGTTGATGGTTGATAGGTATAATTCAAGTTATGATTCCTGAAATCATTTGTTTAGAGGTATGAGTAAAATAAATATTACACTATTTATGTTCTAATGATGGAGATTTATTTTCCAAACTTAGATGAGCGTACAAAAGGATCAAAGGGTATAACTCAACTTACCTCTTTTCATACAACTTTGAATAATAAAAAATGTAGTTCTTTAGATTCGTCAATCTATTACATAAATAGGCCTACTTTTTTCATCCAGGCTATGATAAAAAACGAAACTCACATAATCAATTAAACAATGAAACAAGGCCTATATTTAGACGTTTCTAGCCTCTAAACCCCTAAACCATGAACATAAATTGGTATAACTCAACCTATCTTCCACGATGACGTACACCCAACAAGAGACAAAATTGACACAGCATTGTTCGGGAGTGCCCCAAGGCTGCACTCTAGGACCGATCTTATTTCTTCGCTAACGCCGCCGGAGTGTTACTGTTGATTAGCCATTGTTTCGTATGGTTATGTGGGTCAAGACTACGTCTGATTCACGCGGGCGTGCTCCAAGATCCACTCAAGGCTTGAGTACATTCCTCCATTCCTCCATTCGAGAGGTTTGAGAGATTCTGGTCAATCGGTTGCGACAGCTCCTGTTTTGGGCATGCGGTAACATCCTCAGATCCGACCAAGGACGGCTTCTGGTCATGGAATAGTTTTGCGAGGACGATCTGTTAAAGAATTTTCTTGTATGGAAGTAGTAATTAGCGTGATGGTAAATTCTTAGTCAAAGGCAACTGCAACTTTTATTGCACCAAATGTATGTGTGTGTATCTGTATGCAAGGCATTTTAAATTGTTATCAAACGTGTATCCCCTAAAAGACCAATATATATTCACAAATGAGACGTATCTTTTGAATATATTTGGATAATGGTTTTATTGATTTTGTAGAATCGATTTTAAATTTAAACTCCAATATAGGTCATTCCTCGATAAAAACTCTAGGTCTATTCCTATAAACTGGTGGGGCCAATAATCTGTACTCACCATTTAATAGCACGCAACTTACTAATGTTAGCCTACATTAATCAACATTTCCACACAAGCCATCTCACTTATCACTTTCACTCTCTAATATCTTGCTAAACGTAGAGTTATGTCATTGTCTCATCAATCAATTAGTCACTTATTCAATTAGTAATATTCATGGGTGAATGTTACTGCAAAACTTGCTTAGGCAATTGCAGGCGTTATTGAGCTCGAATATATTATCTGACATCACAATTGAAGAAATGCAAAGGGACCTATGACTAATGAATAAATTCATTTTAAAAGGCGTCTATTTGAGCATTTAATTCCTTTACACCCACTCATATTTCCAAACAATAGAATATATTCATTTCACAAACTGGTACGTCAGTCTTGCAAAGATAACACAACATTGTCAGATGTCTGTTCACTTTAACGTCCTTTATGATGTCCATTCCTGAAAGCCTAACGGTATAAAAGTCCCGTAGCTATCAGTAGAACAATAGTTGGCGGACAGAGGTCAACCACACGTAGACAGCTGGGCACGTGCGTGTCGCAGATATAGTGACGTGTGCGTGTGCGTGTAAATATACGCAACTTCATCTAATCATGCTAGGCGGGAGATACAGTCTAGGCCCTTCTCGGTGGAAGCCCAGCGTGAAGTTTGGGGACTTAGTACCGGAAGATGTTTATCTTAGGTGTGTGGAGAAGAGAAAACACGTGAAGAATGTGGATAAGAAACATATTTGTTGACAAGGTTGTGGCTGACCACTATATCTACTGAGTTCATCCATGCGTGTTCATGAGTGCAGGGCCGAGTGCCAGTTGGAGGTGTAAGTGCCATCCAGGTATCAGTGACTGGTTCCACAGTGCGGCGGGTATTGGGGGTGGAAAGATCAACCAGGGGGGCAGGAATAGCAAAACCTGTTTGAGGAATAAAATGAAACTGTTATGACCTAACCTAACCTAGCCAAACTTGCTTATTATGAAAAATTGATGGTTTACTAATCAAATCTAAATTTTAAATCAATATTAAGAAACTCTACCTCGTTTTCGTTACATGCTGCCCACTTCACCCCTTCCACTAATTCCCCTCCCCTAAATGACCCTTACGCTCCCGGGAGTCAAACGGCACTCGGGCCTATCTGACAGTTTTGACAGCACTCGCTCCGCTTCCCCGTGTCCATTTCTTCATGAATTCCGTTCAGTTGTCCAAGGACCTTTCACGAGGATCACGCTCTTGGCACGAGTGTAACTGAAATCTATTATACTTGAGTCTAATGGCGGTGTTCGTTAGATCTGCGCGCTAATCCACGGTGTGCAAGTCACTTGCGCATTGTAGCGAGTGTTGAGTGCGCATGCGCCGTGCACGCCCCTGCGCACACCGTTACGTCTTGTTTACACCGTTGGACTCATTGTCTATTGTCCGTCTTTCTAATGATCTGTGACTCTTTGCTTTCCTTTTCATCTCTTCCGTTGCGAATCACAGCGAATTAATGAACTGTATAATTATAGTGTTGCTCAGGATGTTAATGAATGCTGGATTGAAATCGTTAGTTGATTAGCTGTACGGTTGTTTGGATTTCTATTGTATAAAGTTATAATGATGTATCAAACTACATATGAGGCTGTGAAGTGACATACGCTTATCTTGAATTGCTGTAAATTTATCATAAATACAAAAGTATTATAATTCTCAACTTCCTTTGCATCAAGACAGTTCAACAGCTTTTATTTATACGTGAAAATATATAAATTTAACCAAATCCTTCATAATCCATTGTATGTAAATAACATTTCAAACATTATACAGCCGAAGTGTCCACACCCAAAAAACAAATCAGCAAAACAAGTTTGCCATTTGCAACCATAAATCGTTTGATGACAAATCGATATTATCGTGTAACAAAGCGATCGGTGATGAAAAAATGTGTATCAATAATCCGTTGACAAGACAATAGGGTTACTCGATCATTATGCAATCTGCTGGTCACCCGAAAACCGATACGTTTGCGTCTGGAGGTTGGTCAGTCTTGTCAATTGCGGCCCACCTTGATGACTTACAATTGTTACGTAAGCCCGGAAACAGATGTTGCGGTAGGATGATCCCTGATCGATTTCAAGGTTATGTTTAAGCTATCTAAACACTTGACAGGTTTTTAACGATTTCCCCAAATATAGCGATTTTGTTTTAATTTGTGGTTTAAGTATCCATTTCAAAAGCTACTGGGGACGTTTTCCGGGTAGTTTGATTGGGTTCAGGTTTCATATGTTTACTTCATTGTACTATTGTTTGAATAAATGTAAACCTAAATTGATGAATTTTTCTTTCAGGGAGTTAAAGTGAAGATGGATGACCAAGGAAATATCCTGGTGAAGCGCGTCTCCAAATGCAACGTGTACGTCAAAAGCACAGCGGCGGGTCCTGGGGAAGAGACCAGCATAGGAAGTGATGTGCTCAAACTGCCAAACTGTGCTCTTGAGCCAGAAAAACCAGTCAAGGTAAGTGGAGGAATTAAATAAAAGCATAAATAATAACTTATTTCAGTTCTAAAGAACCACTGTGTTTATAGTACTTTCAGAACTTTTTAAAATAATTGTTTCATTTCACAAAACACAAGTTGAAAATGGCGAATAAACTTTTTCAGTGGGTAGACAGTGAAATTTATGGTGAGTCTATAGTACATTCAGGTTGTTTAATTTTTATATAATTTATTACAGTAAATTAGAACATTAATGTAGGTAAGTAGACTATTATTTGTGGAAGCTGGGTGCGGAGAGACGGTGCAAGCTGCAGAAATCCGCAACAAGAACAAGAAGAAGTAGACTATTATGAAAATGTTCGTCATATTTTTCATTGTGCATTAGCAGTTACAATCTATTTTCGTTAAGGCAATAACGTTGGTAAGATCTTAGATAACTTTCGATAATCCTGTAAGAATGTAAAACTTAAAAACTAAGCATCAACATAACACCTATCAAATAATAGACAACAAAGAACCAGGATTGATAAATATCCTAACCCAGTTTCAACGTACTATGAACAATGAGTAGGCGATTGTTTAGGTGCGCCTCAAGGTTCTCAATTGGTGGCCTTATTCATTCTAATCACAATTGCTGCTCTACTTTTCGAGTCCTCCAATGATAGTGTGATTGTTATTTAATGGCAAAGTCTTTATGTATGGTCCTCTGTACCTTTCGTCAAGAGGTTTTATTCTTATATAGAAACAAACAGTTGTAAATGTGGTTTAGAACTAATTGATTCTGGCCACGTGTCAAAGTTCCTTACGTCATGAACGTAAAGAACTTTTCTTTACGTTTTAAAACGTATGTAATGTGTTTGACCATCTACATAATGGCTCTGCTACAACAGTTGTGAAACATAGCGAATGTTCAAATGATGTGAGAGGCGATGTAGAGCCCTTATTATATAGTGGAACGTTTTATAGTTATTTTAGTAATAACTAACTGATGTATTAAGGTACAACTATCAACGTAGTTCATGGCAGGTTTTCTCTGGTCGCGGAGTAACGTAGTTCAGTCGCGGTCATACAGGAAGCCATTGGGTTTTCAAGACGTAAATTAACTAAGAAAATAAATGTGTTACTTAAATTTTGTTACAAAAGCCTCATCGCTTATAAAGTAAAGTAAAAACGTGCACTTTTTCATCGTGGGAAAACCATATCCACTCTAGACAAGTGAAGCGAAACATAGGAAGAGGGCGGGACCCAAGGTCGTGCCTGTGGAAAATGAAAAATGGAAGAGTGTGATACAATAAGAGTGTAGGAGTAGACGCATGAGAGGTTAGGCTCGGAGCAAGGTTGCTATGAAGCCTTGGGCGTGATTGATAACGATAATGAGACCGGTGAAATGTCAGCTGATTGCCCCTGGGGTTCAACGGTTAACTGTTTGCATTTGCACTACTTTGAGTTGCTTGGAATTCCAAGAGTAATAGGGGAATTCTCAGTTATGTATTGGTCAAGAAAATTACATTGAGTCTCACAGGGGCAGTTAAAACGAAACCAACTTTGATAATTAAGGCTTTCATTGGCTGGGTGAAGTATATTTTTACCGTTTATTACTTTCAAGAGTTAAAGTGGTAGATTTTCATAGACAACTAATTTCAGTTATTGTGCTAAAATTCACTCAAGTTGTATACAACGTACACTCGTCGATTTACTTAATTCAATTAAAAATGTAAATTTGTTCTAAAATGGGTTGAATAGTTAGCTTACTCAACAGTATGCTAGTGGACTACCTAACAAATTAAAATGAATGCATTGAAAATTCAATACCAGATTTAGGATTATGATTGTTCTAACTTCCATTCAGGATATAAGATAGTTATTCACTAAGCCAAAAAGGTAACGATTCTAGAAGCAAATTTAGTTTTCTACTGTCAACGCTGTGTACACACCGCACCACCAATAATGGCAAGTCGGAAAAATTTCAAAGAGTTATGAAGACCTGAGTTTGATAGAGATGCAGCAAAGTGCAAGACCAGGGTCATGAAGCGGCAGACTCAATCATGACAGATGTACGTGAGATAGACACAGCCATTGTCATCCTAGAGGCGTCCTAGACTCCATCTCTAGAGCATCGACCTCAACCAACTAGACATTAAAATTGCACCCAGCGAAATCTCCACAGATTAGATATAGCTAGATAAAAAAGGTCATACTGCAGCCGCAACGTTGGTTCTCACACTAAAACACGTGATTGCAGTTTTATAGGCTTTACGAATTTCCTCGCAACAGTTTTTTTGTTCGTTTTCCTACCTATCACAAGCCTCAATAAAATTACTGTAACGGTTAGATATATTTTATGTGAGGTAACCGTTTTGTGTCATATTCGTATAAATAAAATTCAATTTCTATCGTCTAATGAAAAAAAAAATAATGGTGGGACGCATTCCGAGGAAATTAGCATCTGAAGTGAATGGTCAATTAATAATATTTGTATTCATTGGAATGGTCCAAAAGGCTAAACTAAGGAATTAATTAATGATGAACAACTAATTTTCCCCGTTGTTTAAAACAAACCATAAACTCATTGTAACGCTTGATGAAATTTCAAATCCATTGTAATCCAGAGAAAAGGAAATGGCAATGGTTACAAACAAACCCTGAGGGTTACAACTACATGGGAAAAAATATTTTAGCTTCGTACTTTGATTGTATTTTTATCAGAGTGGGTGTAAAAGAACAATTCTTTGATCCTAAATTTGGATATTAATACTTGTTTATGAAATAAAACTTAGCCCCTGATTTTACCGTAGTCTATATTAATGAATTATCTTGTTCTATCTTCAATATGATTCTGTTGCAATATCTCGATCTCTGTTAAATGAACTCTCAATTATTCGTAATCGTAGCAGAAGGTGAATTTTACAAAGCCAATACTTTCCAGCTGTATTCCAGGTACTACTCTTGAGATTCCTTCATAAACTCCAAGTTTCACACCAATCTGGTTGTTGGTTTCAGTTGTTCGACATGAAGAAGTTCCAGGCCAACGTGAGTCGGGAGTTGCACAGAGCTTACCCAGACCGTCGTCGCCTGGAATGTCAGTGTCTCAGCGCCATCGCCTTCGTCAAGGCGGAAGGAGACCTGCTAGACTGTCCCATCTGGGTGCTCATCATCAACGTAGTCGCCATGGACATGCTCAAGTCAAAACTACCTCCAAGTAAGTAACTTCAAATAGTCAAAATAATATTTAATTTCAAGTCAAAAGGAGGGCATTTGAATATTACCACGTGTATATATGTCGGAACGACTAGTATCAAAGCTGAAGTTATGACTGAAGTTATTTAGCCCTTCAGGTAGGCCTGACCGAGAATTTCTAATACTGCTTTGTAATATACCCACCGAAAAATCCTGTGGTCCCTTAAATGACAATCACTCTTTGAAAAACACTATTAGGGCAGGATAAACAATGTTACCGAGCATAATTAGGATTACGCTTAGATTAGGAACAAAATTATAACTTTAAAATCAATGCTTAAGGGTTGTGTGAAGCAACTTACTGCGTAAGCTAGATTGCAAATGTCAGAACCATTGTACAGAGTCGAGAATTTGTAAGAACAAATATCACAGAAAAATGGGTTGAATAAAATAAAATCAACTTCTATGATCCTGATTTCTCGTGTAAATAAAAGTTTGAAAAGTGTTAAACCGCTAGGGTTTGTTGGTGTACAATAGCAATTCGATGGAACATTTATCTTGTGAATGACAGATGTTCTAGTTTAGGCTTGAGAAGTGTTAAGAGAAGTAAGTATGGCACCATAACCAGCTGAATACGCACGTAAACCGTCAGTGAAATAATGTGGCAACTAAAGTGGTATGAATGAAGGAACGTACTCCTCTTCTGGAGATCAATAATTATTAGTGTGATTACATTACTTAGGATCCTTATTGGTATCAACATTTGAAAAGGGAATCTAATCTTCGAAATTAAAAACATTACTATTTTCCTTACAAATTTAAATATCTTCATACTCGTGGTGAATAGTATGTACGACTACAGTTAAAGGAACCAAGTCGTGGGTGCATTTAAAGGTCGGGAAACCTTGACTACCTTTGGATCAAAGATAATCGACAAGCTTGAATTGATGTTACCCGATTGATGAATACCGCCCACCCCATGGTCAAGGCAGGGAGGTTATTGTTTGCTTGTAGATCGTTAAGCCTTTTTTGATAGACGTTAAAGGCAGAACGTGTGGGTCTAGAAGGTTCGTTTGTGGAAGAGAACTCTATTTTATTGCCTTTCACGTTGTTGGAGGTGTCGATAAAACATTATGTATAATAAAGCTGAAAGACAAAGACGGGAAACATTCATTTTGGTTGTTATGTAATTTAAACTCTAGTTATAAATATATTATCTGCAATGACGCTTCTATATCCTTGCAGATTCTACATTTTAATTTAACCTATCTGAAACATAGAAGAAAATGTGTAATTCTGAGCATGATAAAAAATTGCAACGAATTTTGAAAATTTTGTAAAACAAGAACACGTTCTCGTGGTTTTAACAACTCATCTGCAAGCACTTAACTATCAGATGTAGATTAACTTTTCTAATTTTTCATATTTTCATTTTTTAAATTGAGTCCTTTTCAATTTTGATCAAACAATTACTACTTGAAATATAAAATTATTATTTTCTATTCCGTAAAATAATAAACAGTCAATGAGGTTATATAAATGAAAAATCTACGGGTTCTAACTTTCATAGTTTAATTGTGTTTTAACTGTTGCTTTTTGTGATCAAAGCAATTAGCGAGGAAATTACACCAATTTATTTTACATTCCTTGAAACATTGAAACCAGAGAGTATTGTTGATGAAGGAAAGGATATAAGTATATAATTTTGATAAAATAAATATAGTATTTATTTTTTTACGTCCGAAAAGTTAGAAGCACGTGTAGAGATGGTGTCCAGACGAAGATGGTCAGTGGCCAGAGGCGACGGTCAACGCGAGACACAACACCGTCCTTGGCCATTCACACAATGCCGATACTCCAATTAATACGGGCTATACAAAAGACCTCATTCCAAGGAACAAAACGTCAGACTTCACATTGGACACGGTGTCCATCACCGGTGGCAAACCATCACACAGAAGTATTGTCGTCCATAACAAAGGCGAACAGCCACCGCGGTGCGATCCGACGTTTAAAATATTTGTAACCGCTTGGTAGATTCAAATGAATACATATTTGTAAACAAGTTGACAAGCAAAAGGAAGACATAAATTTACATTGCATGCCAGCCCATGTGCGATATCCTACTTAATTCAGCAACTTGGCTCAACTCATTGTCTAGACAAAATCTCGATCCGAGAATTAGTGTCTTCGAGTTCGTGCAGACAACAATGGCTGACCACTGAGTTACCGCTTCTGGCGTATTCTGGGGACGAGACACTTGCGAATGTGATGTCAAAGGTCTCAAGGGGGATTCACCAAAGGAACCTTTTTACAGTTTCTGTAACCAACATTTTCTTGATGATTAGTTCTTACCATAAGTAAGGTTAAGTGTCAAATTTTGACTAATTAATAGTGCCAGATAATATTATACTTCTGTGGCAACAAACCCACTGGTAAATTCTATTTTCCTTAAGGATAATCCATATTAATCGTAGGGTACATATCCAATATCAAATTTAAAGCCAAATTAGAAGAATTGTCAGATCGTGCATACCAAAATGACATTTCGAAGCAACGCAACAGCTGTAACTACGTCACCAGGAGGGCCCGGGAAGTCGAAAGTTTACTTTGTAATCAGCGCATGACGCCTGTTCTGCGCCAGAAATCAGCATCGCTGCGCCATCCGTGTCACAACAGTGCTGGCATACTTTCAACTTCTCATAATGGTGACCAAACTCAAATATCGCCTTACAAGCAGGTTCACCAACCCAAAAAGTATATGGGCTGTCCCCATCAATGAGGAAAAAGTTGTTACGTGTTTAAGTAAATCCAAGCATAGCATGTTGGGTTTAAGAATAAATTAAACGTCACGAGAAGTTCCATCTAAAAATCTTCCAGAAATATGTCAATAAAATGAATTTAACGAGAAAGGAATTTATAGTATTTCTAAATGTGAACTTTACATATTTACATAGACATATCGAAAAATCAATTGACTTCTCTACCTTATAAGTTGAACTGTAAACATTAAAAATTCTCAACAAAATCTCACAAAAGAAAATCAGTTGAAGGTCAGTTAAACTTGAAGTAAACACGGAAACATGTTTTATGAGCTGTGCAATCGAAATATGCTAACCCTAACCTAATAGGTCCAGATGTAGTTTCAACACATACACAATACCAAGAGCAATACAACTAATAGTAGCCACTTCTTCATCTGGTCCCCTTGAAACGACCAAGATCAATCTTCACACTTGAATTCCAGCAGACTCGAGGGCCCTTCAGCTTCTGGATATCTACAACAAAACGCCAAACACTTTGACGGCTGTAACAACGAAACGGTTACACAATGTTCAACATTCCCTTGGACGATCAGGAATGACATTCACTTTCTGGATCATCGGAGCATTCGGAGGTTACTGAGGTCTTAGCCTCCACGGTGCTTGGCCTCGTGGACATCAGGTAGTCTATCGCACGTGCTAAGGTCGCCCAAGTTTGTAGTATTTTTCTCAAAGAATCTTGTGAAAGGAAATGTGGTACAGTAGTGGTTGTTTCAGTGTTTGGGGGATACTTAAAATCAACTTCAAAATTCAACGAAGCAGAATGATGAAATTATATTTACCTGAGTAGGTAAGAGAATTTTTAGGATTGTCCATTAACGTAAAGAATAATGATGATGTAGCTTACACTACCAAAACTCCTAGAGTAATTTACGTGAGACGAATACTATTATTTGGTTGTGTGAATTATGAGAAACTGAAAAAAAGGGATTTGGCTTGGGTTGTTGCTTCATTGTTCCACTGGTTTTTAATCAGGTATCATATCGGCTACCAAAAGCAACACCCAGTAAAGTAGTAGGCCTATAGATGAACTCCCAACGTAAACTAAACTGAGCTCTTCGTGAAAAAATCGAACCTTTTAAGAACACTTTGATTGTACTCAATTGCAGGGATCACATCCCTAAATTTTAACGTATGGGCTCTATGAATCCTGAATTGTGAAAACGACAGATGACAGAATGTTGCAGAGCATTGAAGTATTTACGAGTGCAATTTGACTCACGTCTCTAGAAGGTTACCCAGCAAGTTCCCTGCCCTTGGACCCGCCGTAAGATCACGTCCCGTGAGTTCCCAAGGGTGAAAGTGCAGGGAAAGTGTTCTGTGACAGTTCCAATTGTGCCATCCGTATCACATGGTTACACAACCGTCGAGTGTGTTACTGTTGGCATTAATGGATCTCATTGTGCCTCCGTTGCTGTGGTTGATGTAATGTTTGTCACGTGATCCAATCTGGCGTGTTGAAGATAAGGAAGACTGTTGAGCGGAGATGACGCCAGTTAATGTTGTAGTAAAGTTGATGGGACTACGGTGTCGTTAACTTGTTGCGCTGGGACACCCTGTTAAATTATTTTTACCTGCGTTATCTTTTTACTGTTTTCTAAAATTAAAATGGTTTAGATTCTAAGTTTATGGAAAAGATTTTGTTAGGGTTTTAGTGTCATTAATTTCTGATTTAAATGGCAAGATAGTGAACACAAACCAAGTACTGCACTTGTATAATTGGCTGGATAGCTGAGTGGTTAGTGCTTGCCTGTCAATCAAAATTTTACCGGTCCGATCGTGAAAATGTTAGTAGTTTTTTGTTCAGAATAAAGTATTAAAGATGGTTCAAAAATGGACCCAGCTGTTCCTGAACTTTAAATAAATGACCCTGGCCAATAAACAGCTGATCTAAGTCAGTAACAAAGCTACATTGATCACCTCACTCCATTCTACACTCATCCTTCACTCATATTTGGGTTGAAATACGCACATTGGTGGCGTCTCCATCTTAATGATTGAGTATTTATATAATACAAAATTAATTTCAGTATGAGACTAAGCCTAGATCTAAATCTCCTGATCTAGAATATTCTCATAAACAGCTACCACCTTCCCAGTTACAAGTATATATAATAGTGACAGTATACATTTCGAACCACCCAGAAACTTATAACGGTAATTCCTTTGGCCCCTGTAGAGTTCTGTTATGATTTTTGGCTTTTCAATTATTGTTTCTTCCTCCTTTGTCTCTCCGCCACCGGTTCCGCAGCTCCCGCATTGTTCTGTGTGTGGCGACATTGCCCCCCGATGTTTTGCCCGGGTGAGTGGCACTCTGATGATCGCGGTTTGTGGTCCGATTGCTCCCTGCTGCGATCTCTGCACAGTCCTTTGTTATGCTAAGCCGCTAATCCAGCTAACAGACACGTGAGTTCGCTCCGGTTGTGCGCCCGCTGAAGACAGGATAGCGAAGGATGTTTCTATGATTTGCTAGAAGTGAAGCACAAACCATATCCTCACTTGAAATGACAATATGGATAGAAGTTTAATGATTATAGGCATTTGTATTGTATAGTATTACAACGGAATAAGAACCCTGAGGCTTCATTATTTAGTAAACGACGAAGCTTTCAAAACAATATGTTTTGAAGACTGACTTACCAGTGATGGAATGCGTTGCTATACTAGTAGATCTTCGAGAAGGAATGGAAGGAATGGAATGATCATTAAAGCAAAGTGGATGGAAAAAATAGTTAACATTTTTTTACAATCTAATAATCATTATCTATATTATGTATCATGAGAAATCTACACATAGTAATACGTAAACATTGTTAAATTACTCTATAACCATGATTTAGATCCAAACATTATAACTTCAATTAATGCTACTGGATAATCGTTTGCTTTTCAACTTCTCCCTCCAACAGATCATCTAATTTATTGATTAAATTATTCGGACTTCGGATACAATGACTCGAGTGTTAACTAGTATCAATGTTTACACCAGTAATTATCACAGTATATCAAAGACTACTAAGTGTTTTGATTGGGAAAACCCCCCTTCTCATAGTAGCCCTCCCTGCCACCGAAGAATTCTTCAAAAATCGTATTAATTACAACACGAGATCCTGGGGCATCGACAGGACAATGCCACGCACAATATTCCCACAGGCTATTCATGAATAAATTGTAAATTAATCGCGAGCAAACTGGGCAAATTGGACTATTTAACAACCTTGGGCCTTCTGCCGACCTTGGCTGAAATGACTGCCAATAAATTGGCCACCGGACAAAGAAATGACAGCCGACTTAAAAAATGAAAAGTGAATCATCAATCTTGGAGTATCGTTATTTTCTGCAATGACTATTCCAACTGCTCCTTCATTGTTCGGCAGGTTCGACGGTGTTTGCTCTTCGTTCCCGGCTTTAATTGTTGGGTATTATCTCTACGAATCAACGTTTCAACGAGTTTGGCCCAGCAATTAATATGCCCAATGATTACCTTACCTAACAAAAGGCGGAGGAATGTGTTGTTCATCAACCGTGGGAGGGATCTAATACAAATCATTGTTTCAAACAATCATGATCTAAATATGGTGCTGAAGTGTATAGTTTATTACTAAATCTGAATATTTTTTGTAAATCTTTGTTAAGGTGAAGGTTATAAAACAATATTTATATTACCAATGATTTGGTATAGTATTTTACAGTTTAATTGGAAATATCATAATTTAATCTTAATAATTAGATGTTTTGCTACCCCTAACTGGGAGTTCCAGGGTTTAGACAATGTCCAAAAGTACTGATAATTAAATGAGAAACTATGAGTATTTTAATTCTTAATCCTGGAGTACGACAAGTTAAAATAGAGAATATTTTTTACGCTCTTATAATGTTGACATAAACTAACAGTCTGCCAGGGTCCAGCATTGAAGTCAGCGCCGATCTCGAAGTTAGAGTGCGTACAAAATAAATAATTAAACCTAGACATCAGCATATACACACGCTCTATCACTCTACCCTATAATTACCAATGGACGAATACATTACCAAGATAGAGCCATCTGGCTACTCTAGCTGCAACGCGGGTTGAGCAACCGAACCACGCCCCCAAGGCCGCCTTCACTTCAACTCCGCTGAACATATAATTGCAATTGGTCAACCGTTCCATTCCAATTTCCTACTTGACTCTATCGCCTTTAGTGCCTTCCATTTGTCTCCGGCCCGACCGATTTGCCAGGGCAAAAACAGTCCATCAGCTGTAGTTGTCGCAAGGCGAATCGAATCAGTTGGACCGGAGGACTTGAGGGTTTGGTTCGCGCCGGAAATAGCGTAATAACATAGCTTTACCAAGAATGTTGTATTGAGGTCATTGCCGTGGCTAAAAGTTCGATTTGCCAATATAGGGATGAACTCATTTGTCGTAAAAACCTTCACTCTTTTACACGAAATCTTTCTCACAGGAACATGAAATATTTCCGAAATTGTGTTTATGATTGAAGACTGGATTGACTATATTTGTGTATATTTGTGGCATCACAGAATTTAACACATAATAATAATTTTACGAAACCTTACACGCAGGGGTGCAGGGATGGGTTCTAGAAAGACGTTTTAAGAAAAACGTCGTGCTTTATATACTCAATTCATGCCAACCTAAGTTTCTGTTGTTATACAATCATTCTGTGAAGATTTTTTTTTTATTCAAGTATGATTATCGCCGAATAACTCTTCCTCCCACAGTCTTCAACATTGTAAGAAATATTTCCATGATTTTTAAACATAGTAATTTACCATTCTGTGCATCATCTTCAGCATAATGATTCACTTTTGTGTTACAGTGAAACGTACGACAGTGGATATCCGCAACAGACCTCGCATACCCATACCGGACGAGGACCCCTACAGTGTGGCGGGTAACGGGGGCGGCTCTTCAGGCAGCTCTGGGGGTGGTGGAGGCGGCAGTGTGGGGGTGGCGCAGCATGTGCGGCGTAGTGACAAACCACCCAAACTGCCACCCAGGGGAGACAATCCCTATCCCCATGACATACCCAAGGTATTCATAGTCTCATCATCATACATTAATGTTACAATTAACTGTTTTGTGTGTTCTACCTAACTATATCACCCTCCCTCTATGTGTCTCTATAGGGAGTGAGCTGGTCTAGTTGTAGACAAGAGACCTCAGTCTTTGAGGTCCTGGGTTCAAATCCCACCAGATCAACAACGGATTTTATCTAAATGATAATTCCAACTCTTAAGTCTAGCCTGAAGTGATGTGAGAAACAACCCGGGCTAATGCCTAGCACCCTAGGACATAAAAACCATGTATCCACAGTGATTTGGCATTCAATCAATAATAAATAAACACAATCTTTAGATGTTTACTAATACAAATTTCCCCACCTTCATGGTTATTTAAAGTTAAAATCATCTTGGGGATCCAATTAGACAAGGTCTAGGTCCAGATTTTTTTTAACACCTGTAAAAGTCAATGGTTACAATGATGATGATGATGCAATACAAAGATTTTCTAAACATTATAGGGTTTCTTACATTTATATTCAAAGTAAGCTTTAGAATTACAACGATAGTAAATTGTGTTTTAACACATGGACAATTGTTTCAGCCTGACTATGACGACATAGAAGAGGAAGAGAATAGACTCGCAGTCAAAAACTTCCCATCATCTCGGGGCACCAGAGATAAGACCAAGGACAAGAAATACGGTGAGAATATTTGAAACATAACACACGAGAAAATACAATTCCTCAAATTATCAAACCGACAATGTTTAATTCCAAGCTCTTTTCGAACATTAATGTAAAATGTTCATATCGTTGAAATAGTTCCCCTTACCTATCCAATCAAGAACCACAACGAAATCCAATCAAAAGAAATTTCACATTGATTTTTGAAACAGTTCACAAACCGGTCCCAGCATCTATAGTCAACGTTTTCCAACGACATTCTGCGTTACATATTCACCGTAGAAAGCGAACGTTTGCGTACACCGAACACCGGCCGACCCAGTTACCTGGGAGAGCTTGGGGGACTTGCAGAACAGTGAAAGTGGACCCATTCGGTCACCTGGAGTTGGCGAGCGCGGGAAATGCCAGCTGTTTAATGGAGGATGGCCTTCAATTATGCAACAATTACTCCCGGTTTGGGTGGCAGAGCGGATCAACTCATTGGGGGTGTAGCTCACCGGACCAAGGGTGGTGCGAGCAGTGTTATAACACAAAATCTACACTAGAACACCGCTAGAGCCGGAGGCGGCACGATGTTTTTCTTGGAGCTTCGGACACGAATTCAAAGCTACCAGAACCTCCAACTTCGCTAATAAGCGTTTTTGATGGATTACGTCCCTCGAGGGTATTTGCGTATTAGGTTTCTCAATTAATGGCTCAATACGGTGGTCCACAGTTTGCGAAGTGCCTTGACGTGCCGAACCAATAGTGATCTCATAGTGACTCATGTTTGTAGACAGTTTAGCACGTTTTGTGAGGTAAAAATCATTTATAACCTAAACATCGGCGAATTGGGAAATATATGGTCGAGATGTTTACGATGAATAGAAATTGCTGAAACAGTATACATTTTTTAATTTCAGTACAGTTCCTATCTCTATCTAGTTTTTACCATTAACACCCGAGACTTACTTAGGAGTAGGTATAGTCTTAACTATGTATTTTTTTGAAGGAGATAACGTTTAATATGTCCAACTCTTAGTATATAGAGTTAAGTGTAAACAAACAAAGATTTCTTTCTTTAGTTTTAAAATTTGAATCTTAATCATGATGAAATGTCTAAAATCAAAAGTATGGTTCTAAGGCTATCGGGAACATAACAAAGTCACCTTCAAGCAACTTTCATAAAAAACCTCATTGAACATCTCAGTATTTTTTTATTTATTTTTGTGTTTTACAGACGATCCGTACTACTGCGGACTGCGTGCCAGGGTGCCCAACTTTGTCAAGAGCAAAGACAAGGCAGCCATAGCGGCTCAGATGGCGCGCTACCCCATGATGCCTGCGCCGCTACCCCCTCTCCACAACCACGCACACCCCCACCCCTTGTGGCACGCCCGCAGCTACGACAGTGGCATGGGTATGACCCTCTACACACACCAACCCCAGCCATGTATGTATCGGTGTTACGGTGTTACATGCACTCCACTAACATCACGTCACGTGTGCCTTCTTCAGTGTTCTATCTTGGGTTGTTGGAATTCTACAAAAGATGGTTTGAAAATCATCTAAAGATTGTGTTTATGTGTTTATTACAGTCTCTTTTTTAGGATAGGGTAATACAAGAAGGTCTAGAACTTAAACTCTTTCCTCTAGTCCCAAACAATAGACGCTAACTACTGCTAATACACAAGTAAATTGTTTAACGACAAATAAATAAAATTGGACAATCTTAAAGAAAATAGTTTTAATCTCAAAGCTACGAATTCAAATAACCGTTATATTCCTTTTTAAAATATTGTGCTGTCTAAATATACGCACAGAAACAGTTTTGTTTCATTGCGCAAGGAAGACAATCGTTGCAGTCTCGAGTAACAGATGATTACCAGAGCAGAAAAACTCTGAATTGGGCAATCTTAGACATGCAAACGGTTAGCGGGCAAGGTGGGCACTTAATTGCGGTTGAGTGCCCAGCGATTTGCCCAACATACTCTAATGTAGGCGCAATTAAGTGGACTTGTTGGATTTTATACATAAGTAAATAATTATAATATTTTTTTTATTTTATGAAATTGCGTTAGAGTTAATAATACATACTGGTTTAACTTTTATACGTACGAGGCTTGTTAATTTCAAACTTACTAATGGAATAACAAAGCAAACAGTTACTTAATTATGAAATCAGTTGAAAATTGACAAATTTCAATACAGTATAATGATCAGTATCGAACTATCATTTCAAGCAGAGTGTTTTTTTCATATTTTAAAATAATTATATTTTATACATAACGAATCTGTATTTTCTTAACACACACATTTCAATAATGGTAGAGAGGGTACATTGACTTAATGTATAAAATTATTCTTCTTCGTAAGACTTTTTTTGAATATATTTATTTGTAGTAGTTATTGTTGATGTATATTGTTGTGTCCTGTTTGCATGATTCTACTACTTATTGTTTTATAATAACACCGTAACACTGGTACTACAATGTCTGTGTAAAGCATGTTAATGTAAATTACTTACCTCACTTTAAATCCATAAAAAATGTATTTATATTATTTTAGGGTAAAATAAGTATTCAAATAAAAAGTCTAGGTGTATATAATTCACTGTGTTTGCAGATGTGTATATAAAATTAAAGATCTGTTGTTCAAAAAAAAGTTAAGCAATCGTGACATTGAATCACACTTAAACAATGTTAAAATGTATTAAAACCCTGAAAAGGTGTTATAAATTATCACAATTATTATGGGTGTTATAGGGTTGGTAAGAAACCCCAAGCGCTATAATAGCTTTAAAAGATTTTTATAATGCTTTTAAGATCACCTTTGTTAAATTACTCTATCCATTATTGAGACAATGTAAAACTAAGTAATGGAATTTAAAAATGATGCTTAATGAACAATTTATTAAAGCAATAGGAGCCTGTTTCATTTGACTCGCATATTTTTACGTACGTTCTTTTCTATCCCAGGGAAAAGTTCTAATTTTTGATGACTAGTAGTATTCCTTGCTGAACATATTTACCTCTGAACCATAAACATGGAAGTTACTCTTTAATAAAAACTATTTATTTTTCCAGATTCTGAACACCTAGACTCGCCCTACAACCACATATACGGGCGTTTACCAATCCCTACACGCGGGTACATACCGTCAACGCCACGCACGATGTACATTGGAGAGTGGGACTAGGGAACTACTATGACGTCACTGGCCCCCCACCACTGCAACTCAACCAATCAGAAGCCGGAATGCCAGCGCTACAGGCGAGCGTTACCCCCACCACTTTACGGCACCGCTCCCGGCTTGAACATCCTAATAGGGGAAATGCAAATGCAAAGACTCATAACCCCGAAAATACTCATTCTCAAGAGATTCATTCAAACTGTGGTCAAGGATTTATCCAGCAATTATTTACCAGAATTGCCTTGTATTCATTTTATGTTGATAATTTATTTTTTTTATTCGCCTGTGTTGTATAGTGTACGTGATAGCTATACCACTAGCCACTACATGTATATAGTGTAATTGTAATGTATACTGTAAGTCTGCGCTGAAGACTGCCTGATTTCCCAAACTTGGGCCCTCTTCATCGCTTTCAGTTCTTCTTGCACCTGCCTGCTGTCAGACGAGTCCAGAACCATTAAACGTATGCTTTTTATTCAAAATTCGTTTTTTTTTTATTTTAAAAATTCCAAACTCAAAAGAAACACATTTTTTTTTTTTTTACCGTAATCCTTGTTTAATCGACGTGTATATTTTTTTGTAGGTATATTTATGTTTTATAGTTTGAATAAAAACATTACCAATATTACATGATATTATAAACACGTAATCCTTTCAAATTAAATCTACAGGTTTTAAGACGCGTTAAACCACATTTTTATATAATTACAGGTTAATTACAGGTTAATTTGCAGAAAACTTATATTCAAACTTTATCATCGCCTGTCTGACACGAGGCAGCAGCACTGCTCTATAAGAGTTCTGTAATGTCAATGACATTTATGTTAAGGTTGTAATTTTCTTCTGTATTTATAAGTTATTACTTTAACATCGATTAGAGAGCATTTTGTCCGACTTGTACCTAGTCACAGTTCGCCCGAGCACCGGTCCTAGCTATAGACTGTGCAGTTGTCTATTTAGACTGTACCTAGACACTAGCTAGACCTAGATCGTAGACATGCTCTCCTGTGTACATAGCCTAGTAACACCATGCGTGTGCTATATTATCGTAAGCTAATGACTGTTTTATATCGCTCTGTACATTGAAATAAACGGTGATGGAATGTGTACGTAGTGATTCTTTACAGTCCTTTTCCTCTCAATTTTGTGATAAAACGATACAAGCTTTAATAAAAATGTTAATAGACTTGTTGCTATTTTGAAGTTTGGCATTGCTTATTAAGTTGAGAGTAAAAGACACAATGAAAGTTAACTTTTTAAAATAATAAATAATATGGAAATATTTTACACATTATTATTTTTTTACATTTGATGAAAATGTATAACATGTGAACGACTGAAGAAGGAATAAAACAAAATTCTCTATCACAGTTTAAATGTATAACTGTTCATGCTATCATCAGCTTAATCATATTAGGCTTAAGCTGTGATAAATATATGGTTATTGGTAAATAAACACGAAAAAAATGCATCATTTTATATCACTTTATATTAATTTCGAATTTGTTATGACAAAATATTAATAAGATATAGTGAGTTAGTTAACTAACTTTCAGTTTTAAATATAACGAAAAAAAATTATAGCATTATACATTGATATTACAGCTATTTATTTTTTATTGTAAATTGTTTACAAGGCCTTAACATTTTAGCATTGCACATTTTATGTAACTAAATTTACAAAAATTCATTTTACAGTTAGTAAACTGACAGTTATAAAACATATCTGGTAACAGCGTGTGTTAGAAAACAAACTGCTCCCGGCTCTGTATCAATGTATACAGTTTGTTTGGCTTATAAGTTTAACAAACCACAATGTTCTTAGATCTTCAAGAAATAATTGTAAGACTACCTTTTGAAGTATAGGTTATCGATCCTTGAAGGAATTTCGCACTTTAAAACATTTGTTTATTAGATTAAAAAATATTCGTACTACGAGGTTATTAACTTAACTGAAAATTAAATCATATTTTAAAACAATCATCAGTTGAAAAATCTTAAAAAACTTGCAAAAACTAAAATCAGAATAACTATGTTATTATTTCGAAACCAAAATAAAGTAAGAAGAAATCTCAGAACTGAAGAATATGTGTTTGGATAACAATTTGAAAAATCTTCATATATAACTTCAGCTTGCAGCCAAAATTAATTTACTGATGGTATTAAGAAATCAGTTCGTAACTGCAATGGCGCAGAGATGTAACAGATTTCTTTATTATTGCCTTTTAGCGAATTTCCCTATAGGGAAGTAGCTATTACCGTAGGTCTCATGGTAAGACTTAGGCCCGGGACCGATTTACTTTTTCATTTTAATGTCCCCAGAGGCCAAAAACACCATTCGTTCAAATTTTTATATATGTATATATATATATAGGTATATATATATATATAGATTTATATATATATATATGTGTCCGTGAACACGATAACTTGAGTAGTTTTTATCCGATTTTGATGAAATTTGGTTTGAAGGTGTAAGGCGGGATAAACTTGAATGAGTTCGCGATCCAGCATGATCGGACCATGGGAACAGGGTTTTATGGGGGGTTTTATGGGGTAAAAATTGGTTTTTCTCACTTCTTACCCTCAAAACACGAAATTTCCCAATTTTTCTCTAAACCTTCTTAAAGAGCTTAAAAAAACAAACAATTCAGTATATCAAAGTGTTTTTGTACGGTTATTGGTTACGGAGAAAACTAAAAAAATGGTAAATTTAAAATTCCCATGTTATTCTTATGGAGAATATTGTAAAATGTTGTAGTTTGCTTCTTTATGGATATATTTTGATCAAACTTGGCAAATTTATTTATTTTATAGTAAGCTATCAATATTTTACTAAAAACACACTACTTTATTAGTTTCCTTGTAGCAGCAAACCTAGGTACTCGTTTAACCCAATGTTATTTAAATAGATCAATTGAAAATCAATTCGGACAAATGGAAATTCGCTTAGACGGCAGGTTTGCTGCGGCGGGGGTATTTTATATATTTACAAAGCATTAATTAAAGTTTTAAGTCTGCAATCGCTGTACTAAATGTTTCATGTATTTTCTTGTTTCATACTTGTCTTATTAATTTACGACAAACAACAAGTTACCGGATTAAATAAACAGTAAAATCAGGGTCCAATTAATCATTATCTAATAAAATACATTTCTATCTTTTAAACTAATGTTTATTGCACAATACGACACGCATGCTGAGGTTTAATCTCAATTATAATAAAATAAATATTTATGTTACAAAATCCTCCTCCTTTGTACACTCCCTGATCTTTGCATGGAAACCAAATTGACTGGAAGTCTACACACAGGGGTCATGATAATAGGTAGAAAGCAAAATGTACAGTGGTCTATCATTTAGTTTTTTCGTTGGATTTTAAAAAGAAGTTATGAAAAACACACTGTGATCGCCCTTTGAAGAATTATTACAACGCAAACAATTATGTTATTTGAAGATTAAATTGAAACAGATATCAAAAATGTTTTTCAATCAATTAAGGGTGAAATCACTCAAGTAATTTTATATATTCCTTAGACATATGGGGTAAAAATATAAATTCACCAAGTATCAATGCAGGAATACCATAAAGATTATAATACAACAGTCCATAGTGTGAAAAAACATGCATATCACATATACAGTGGAACCTTAATAAGAAGACCCTCGATAAAAAGTCAGCCTTCATAACAAGTATCATTTTGAAATCCCCTTGAAATTATTTTACTCCTAATCACATGTTATTACAAACCTTGATAAGAAGTCTTTTTTTACAATCCCCATGAGAGTCTTGTTATCAAGGTTCTACTGTAGTAGTATTGAAAAATAAATGTTGGCCTTAAAACTTGTCATAGTTAGTCTTTATTATCAAATCAAATCAAATCATTTATTGGGCCAGAATATTATTTATTAATGTATACAGGTTGTATTGGCTAGGTCATCAATGAAATAAAAGTTGGCTTACATATACCGTATTTAAGAACTATTTGCCAATATACAATCTTATACAATACTTATAACAGTTTTATATATAAATATTTACATCACTATTCTTGGAACTGATTTCAGTTGCAAATTTTTGGACGCTGTAACAAGTTAACTTTATCAACAAAGATTTTAATTGTTTTTTTTTATTTTAACAGGTTTGGTTCAAGTTTAAGAGAAAGTGGAAGTGAATTAAAAATTGTTATGCCATTGTACAGTAAGTGCATCTTGAAAAAAGTTGTTAAATGTTTAGGAATTGGTAATGTATGTAAATTGCGCAATGTGTATTGGTTTTTTTACAGAAAAGTCACATTTAGAAAATTCCTGTTTCACAAATGTTAAAGATTCAAGAATTTAAATAGATGGGAATGTCAAATTGTAATGTTAAATTATATAATTTAAATCTTTTAATTTCATGTGCTAAGGTCAGAACTATCTATTAACGCATATGGCAAATAGACAGGACAGTATTCAATTTTAAACTCAATATTTTCGTAGGATCTTTCATTCGTTTTTATATTATTTCCAAAATTGTTTAAAATTTGACATTACAAAAAGGTTATGACAAAACCTAGTAAATATCTGGAAGGATCTATCATTCCAGAATAAATAATAATTGGGAAGTGAAAACCTTTTTTGAGTTAATTTGAATACTCTGTTTTCATTCCTTAATTTTTCTGTGACCTATCCTCAGTAGAAAGATTAAATTAATTTTTTTTAATAAAAAAATCTTCTATTTACACAGTTAAGATCCTATCGACAGAACATTTCTGTCAGCTTAATGTTCCTTAGGGCTGTATCACTGTGATCACTGACTGAAATACAGTAGCCACTCTTCACTCTACCCCGACTATTTCTCCTGCAAGAACATTTAATGCAATACCAATACCGGCGTTTCCTGAGACCTGTTGTCTATAAATCACCATAATCCGACAGTTTACCGCGACATCCTCCATACAAATAGTCCGACAATGGTGTTGAGATTACGAGTAGAAGTGCGAGTAAACCGGGGTCATAAATAAGATAAGAACTATTACAGACCCTTGTGGCAGTCCATTATGTAACCGAGAGAGCCATCCATTGCAATCTCTGATCACAGTGGGCGATGTGGTGCTGTCGCCCGCGCCTATGGGGGTGTGAGCCCATCGCACCCATACCTACAACTGATTTACACTGAGCCCATAATCAGCTCAACAATCCCACAGATTGCCCCCAACCGTGGTCATGGCCGATATTATACTACGCGCGCGATAACTTTGCACTTGGGATTTTTGGTGTTCCGTGTGAATTTTGTATCGGCAACGTCGCACCGCCGAGGCGAGCGCCCGCTTCTTGTCGCTTTGGCTCGAGGTGCCCTTAATGAGAAAGGCTCTTTTGAAATTGCAAATACTTTTTTTATCTGATAATTTTTTTTAAATATTTCTTATCATAACATGTTAGGTCAAACTTTAATGATAATTAATATAAAAAAATAATTTAAATTGGACAAATATAAGCCGTGTTTACAGTTGTATAATGTAATAATTAAAACATTTACCTGGATCTGCCAATCTTCACGACGAATTATTAATCCAACGGCGAAACACCCAAGTCGTCAAACACACCCGGAGGAAACTCGTACTCTTGGAGATCATCATCAACATCTTCATCCTCGCTGCCACTGTCACTGTCACTATCAGAGTCATCATCGTCCCCACCCAAATTACAGTATAAACTGTTCCACGTCTTCGTGTTGCAGACCTTCTGCTTCCCAGGCATTATTTACTAATTTTTCCGTGTGTGAGACATATCTCGCCCACGTTTCTGGCGTAAATTTATTGATTGCTTCCCGGAATAATGTTTCAACATCGCCTATTTTAAAAGTCACATTTCGCTCCTTTACATAATCTTTAAGCCAAGCCCACACCATTTCTATTGGATTGTACTCGCAATGGTACGGGGGAAGTCTTAGTATTCTATGTCCCAACTGTTCCGCCATTTTATCTAAGACATACTGAGGACGTGGGGGTTTAGCCCTCTTAACCAGTTCCATAAGTTCGAGTTTAATTAATGTAGGGTTAAAAGGCAATCCTTTGTTCGTTAACCACTTAATTATATCAATTTTTCTATTTTTCATTGTTGGA